CCTGGACAAGGTCCTGTGCAGCCTGCTCTGGGTGACCCTGCTTCGGCAGGAGGGTTGGACTAGATGACCCACAGAGGTCCCTTCCAACCCCTACTATTCTGTGATTCTGTGATTCTGTGATTCTGTGATATGCAGTGCCTGGGTTGAGAGCTTTACCATCCCTGGTCCCGGCACAGAACAGGCTGGCCTTGCAGGTAACAGTCCCCCCTCCATTACAGGAATTAGGTATCTATTGTAGAGATGATTATGTTAAGTGCAGAAGAAATGGGCAGCATGCAAATGCTGTACGTTAAACCGTGTGTTCGAAATCAGGGGCTGTGGGCTCTCTGCTGCGCTCTGCAGTGGGAGTGCTGGGGCCAGGTCTGTCACTGTGAGCCCTTACGTGTGGCCACTGGGAAGCTTCTGGGCTGGGCCAGCTCATCCCGAGGGGAGCACCGGAGCTTGGGATGCTCTTGCACAGCTGCTGCCTGTGGGGTTTGCACTGCCCAAACCGCTCCTGCTTCATTTGCAGAAGGGCTTCCGTGTTGTTCTAAGAAATTACTCTTTTTAGTTAAAAAACCCCTTTGAGCATATGTGTGGGTTGGGAGGCTCACGTTTGCTGCTAGTTTGGAAGAACAGAATATGTGTATTCCTGCAGCAGCTGAAGGCCTAAACCACAATACCAACTGCCCTGTGCAACATGTTGTACGTGCACATACGAAGAGATGGCCCCAAACCCACGGCAGGTTGTTTCTCCCATTTTACAGGCTTTGCCCACGTGAGAGGTGCTGAAGGATGATCTGATGTGCCGTGCCTGCAGAGCGGTTGCTGGCCGTTAATATCTTCCCATCCAGGATATTGCAGGCGTTGATCACGACGCAGAGCAGGACAAACTTTGAGATGAGATCTCCAGCGTGGATGTCTTGCCTTAGTCCCTTCAGGTAAGATGAGGCAGGCAGTGGGGGCCGAGGGCGCGTTCTTTACCCAGTGATGGCTGCCTTTTAGCACAGCTGTGTACACACTTTTATGAGACACTCAGGAGTGTCTGCCTGCCTGCCAAGCCAGGTAGCACCTCTGCTCTCCTTTTCCAGCTCACCCCTTCATTGCTCATCTAGATATCATAATTTCTTCTTTAACTTGAATGATTTTTTTTTCTGATTGAGATAAAGCAGCAAAGTTGCCACGTAGCAACCTGAAACGATGGGTATTCCTAATGATGGTACTGCCAAAGCTGTGAAGCATTTGTCCTTGACAGAAACAGGACCGGACTCTTCCTGTGGTTGATGGACTTCTTGAAACAACAATAATAATTACAAGAGTGGATTGAACTCTCCAGAAGGCCAGGCAGAGGCACTCTTCCTGGCCCCGGGGCTGCTGTGGCGAAGCTTCCCTCG